CACACACACACAAACACACACAGACACACACACACACACACACAAACACAAAAACACACACACACACACACACACACTCTCTCTCTCACACACACACACACTCTCTCTCTCTCTCTCTCTCACACACACACACACACACACACAAACACAAAGACACACACACACACACACACACACTCTCTCTCTCACACACACACACACTCTCTCTCTCTCTCTCTCTCTCACACACACACACACACACAACAAAATTAGAATGTAAATTTAAAAACAAAACAAAAAATTAAAATGAAAACGGAAAAAATAAAAACTCTATAAAATATTAATAAAACTTTAATAGTATCTCAATAATATTAAAATAAGATTGATTCTCACTACCCATAAATAGTATAAAATATCTATTTGTTACTCACTCATATCATATGCATATTAATATATACAATAAAACGAGAAATGTTTATTCATAATATACAATATGCATATTACAATGTTGCACAAACTAAATTATGCAAAGAATACAATAAAGAAAACGGAAAAATAGCTAAAAAAAGTGCAAGAAGAAAGAAAGAAAGTGCAAGAGAATATAAAATAAAAAACAAGATTAATAATAATAATAATTAAAAAAAAAGAAGTTATGATATATAAGGAGATATTTGCCATCATTCTCTTTGGCAGCAAAATAAAATAAAATAAAGAACAAAAAATAAATAATAAAATAATTACACTCACAATGTTGCATTAGCACTAACAATCATACATTCTATATTCTTCATAAATAGTCATACTATTAGGTTATATTATTATTATATGCATAGTACATACAACACCTTTAATATGTTTGAGCGCTAAATACGTTATTTGTGTTTGCAATCACTCTGATTGGGCGTATGGGTGTGGTCTGTGCGCGATATCGGCCAATCAGCTGAGGGATCCCGCTGTGGGCGGGGCCGCGGTTTGTTGCAGCGAGTTCTGTGCGGTTCTTCAGTTCTGTGGCTCCAACGATAGAAAGTGGGCCGTACCATCTGCAGCCGGAGGGGTGGAGCCACATACACCGATATCCAAAATCTCGCTTCTCCTCAGATATGGAGCACTAGCTTGTTTTATAAGGATTTATTCGTACAATATTTATATTACCAGCAGCTGTGACGGGAAATTAGGCGGATCGTTGTTGACGTAAATCTGCTGTGTTTTCACCGTGGATCCCTTTTCCAGCATTGACGGTCCTCTAGTCCCGAGCTCCAGTCTCTTTAACGGGATTCACGCTAGCTGTATATCAGTAGTGTATTTCTGCAATGAGCTGAACCGACAGGAATATTTTAAGGAATAACCTGGGAAAATCATGGAATAATACGAGTACATAACATTTATTCAGGTATGATGTTTTATGCACGCTTGCTTCGAAGTATGCACTGTTGTTTACCGCATTCTGCAATTTGCTGTTAAAATCCAAATAACGCATAATGAAAATATGCATGGCGAAAAGTGTTCATATTTGCATATTCCATTTTTTTTCCCCGCATTTATCTTCTCCGACTGATGCATTTACTATGTAAACCAACACTGCTTGGCCCCATTCAGGAGTGGATGACAGGTGTGGGTTGAATTATGCATGCATGTGAAATAACTTGCATAATGCAACCTAAAGCATCCCGAATGCATGCTACACGGTGTTAGAATTACATATTACATGCGACTTGTGCTTGTTTGCATTAAAGGCATGAAAAGATCACTTATTTCATGCTGCTCGGAGATTGATGCATTCAAAGGGGAAGGGGTGTCACATCTGTATGGCAAACACAAGGCAAACTATCACACCAAAATGCGATGCAGTTTGCATGCTTGCCAAACAGTGTGCACTCCAGACTATTGCTGGGATGGCATGCCAAATATTTAGCAGTAGGAGAAAAAATGACTTGAGTTGTTGCTAGCAAATATAATATAGTGCATACTCAATGCATAACGCAAATGCGTCCAGTAATGGTGCGAATGAAGTGTACATTTGAGTGCAGTTTTGTGCATGCAGGGGGAAGGGCAGCAGACACTGGAAGACTCGCTTTGTGAAACCCGAGACTTCAGAAAGCACAAAGCGTCTCCATCGCTTCTCTGTTCAATTTATGCACTTAAAATAACACCACATTTCAAACGGATGCATACTTTTCTCGTGCTTTGACGCGCTAACACGTTGTACAGTTGTTGTTTTTCCCCCGAATGAGGTGCTATGTGTGATATATGAGGAGGAATGATTCGTTTGAATGAATCGGTTAGTTCACCGACGCCGCTCAAAGATCCGAATCACGAAACGTGTTTCGCAGCAAACAATTGTTTTGTTAAAAATGGCACGTTTAAGTTGTCGGGTTTACTGCCAAATTAAGTTATATCCTTGCCTCTTCTCGGGTGATTTACAAACAGTTCGGATCTTTAAAAAAAAGAACCGACTCGAAAGAATCGGTTCGGTCAGGCATCACTAGCGTGCGTTATGTGTCATCCTCGCGAGCACATGCAGCGTTCACTTCAAGCTTGATAAAGGCTCTGTATTGCCAAAGCATTAATAAAAACCGTTTTTCTGTTGGAAAATCCAGATTAGGCTGGTAAATGTGTTTTGGTAACTAGTTTCTAGCTGGCTGACCTGCCATAATGTTCAAAAAACCAGTCTGATCACCTTAATCTTGTGTTATATAAATGAATGACAGGGTTTAGGTTCAAAGTTGGCTGTAAATCTCATTTATATTGTGTCTGATGCACATATACAGTGTTTACATATAGATGCATGAATGAACTTTTAAGGGTTAACGTTTAAGTTGTCGGGTTTACTGCCAAATTAAGTTATATCCTTGCCTCTTCTCGGGTGATTTACAAACAGTTCGGATCTTTAAAAAAAAGAACCGACTCGAAAGAATCGGTTCGGTCAGGCATCACTAGCGTGCGTTATGTGTCATCCTCGCGAGCACATGCAGCGTTCACTTCAAGCTTGATAAAGGCTCTGTATTGCCAAAGCATTAATAAAAACCGTTTTTCTGTTGGAAAATCCAGATTAGGCTGGTAAATGTGTTTTGGTAACTAGTTTCTAGCTGGCTGCCCTGCCATAATGTTCAAAAAACCAGTCTGATCACCTTAATCTTGTGTTATATAAATGAATGACAGGGTTTAGGTTCAAAGTTGGCTGTAAATCTCATTTATATTGTGTCTGATGCACATATACAGTGTTTACATATAGATGCATGAATGAACTTTTAAGGGTTAATTTGCTGAATATCAGACATTGCAGTTGCACTCTGTGCATTAATGATAAGGATGATTTTCTGGGTGGATTTTTGTTCAGAAAACCCTTTTCATGTGGCTTCTGTGTGATTTTCTGCCAGCCGTTACAAACCTCCCGTCCAGAGTTATAGATCAGACATGAGACCAGAAGAATGTGTGTGTTTGACAGTGTTGGTCTGGGTGATATGTATATTTATATCTATTATATATAATTATTTAGACAACATTTTTTTATTTATTCTAATAATATGTATTTAATTTACACTACCGGTCAAAAGTTTTTGAACAGTAAGATTGTTAATGTTTTTAAAGAAGTCTCTTCTGCTCACCAAGCCTGCATTTATTTGATCAAAAATACAGAAAAATTGTGAAATATTAAACTATTTAAAATAACTGCTTTCTATTTGAATATATTTTAAAATGTAATTTATTCCTGTGATTTCAAAGCTGAATTTTTAGCATCATTACTCCAGTCACACGATCCTTCAGAAATCATTCTAATATTCTGATTTGCTGCTCAAAAATAAAAACATTTAATATTATTATTATTATTATGTTCAAAACAGCTGAGTAGAATTTTTCAGGTTTCTTTGATGAATAAAAAAATTCGGAAGAAATATATATATATATACACACACACAGGCCTATATGTAAATTTATTTTTTATATTTATATTTTTATTTATATTTAAGTGATGAACCATATATACATTTGATATTTTATCTTATATTTTATATTTTTCATTATAATTTAGACAATTTATGTTTTTAAATTATTTGAATAATATATATTTTTATTTCTATTTACGCAATAAACAACATTTAATTTTTAGTACATGAAAAATGCCACTTTGAGATTTTGAAGTAATGCAGATTAATTGTTAAATCGGTTTGTACTCGTGTGACAGGTAAACAGGTGGAGACAGTGCTATTACAGAGACAGAGATGACTGTACGGTGGTGAAGAGGCCTAAACATCCCAGCTGTGAAGACGCCTCGGACACAAGAGTCTTTGTTTAGTCTCTCTGTTCGGGCCACAAAGC